GGACTTGCTATAAAGCTCTGACATAGACTCTTTCTGATGTTATGATAAATTGCAATTGCTTCAATGACTGAGATTATAGTTTGTTGGTTCTCAATAAAGTTTATGATTCGTACTTTGCATTGTGAACAGATTATTACTTGAGCATAAGAAATCATATGACGATATCTATATATGTTGCTGTTATGAGAAAAAATCATGATGCCTTCATGTCCGTATTTTATTTTTATCGACACCTCTACCTCTAAACATGGGGACATATTTATCGTTATCGGCTTCCGCTTGAGGACAAGCGAAGTCTAAGCTTGGGGGAGTTGATATGTCCATTTTGCATCATGCTTTTATATCGATATTTATTGCATTATAGGCTGTTATTACACGTTATGTTACAATACTTATGCCTATTCTCTCTTATTTTACAAGGTTTACATAAGGAGGGAGAATGCCGGCAGCTGGAATTCTAGGCTGGAAAAGGAGTAAATATTAGAGACCTATTCTGCACAACTTCAAAAGTCCTAAAACTCCACGAAAGTCATTTTTGGAAATAATAAAAAATATTGAGCGGAAGAAGTTCACCAGAGGGGGACCCACCTGGCCACGAGGGTGGGGCAGGGCGCGCCCCCTGCCTCATGGGCCCCCTGTTGGCTCTCCGATGGCCATCTTCTGCTATATGAGGTCTTTCGTCAAGGAAAAAATTATAGGCAACCTTTCGGGACGAAACTCCCCCGCCACGAGGCGGAACCTTGGCGGAACCAATCTAGGGCTCCGGCAGAGCTGTTCTGTGGGGGACGCTTCCCTCCAGGAGGGGGAAATCACCGCCATCGTCATCACCAACACTCCTCTCGTCGGGAGAGGGCAATCTCCATCAACATCTTCACCAGCACCATCTCCTCTCAAAACTCTAGTTCATCTCTTGTATCCCATTCTTGTCTCATAGTCTGGGATTGGTACTAGTAGGTTGCTAGTAGTGTTGATTACTCCTTGTAGTTGATGCTAGTTGGTTTATTTGGTGGAAGATCATATGTTCAGATCCTTTATGCATATTAATACCCCCTTGATTATGAACATGAATATGCTTTGTGAGTAGTTACGTTTGTTCCTGAGGACATGGGAGAAGTCTTGCTATTAGTAGTCATGTGAATTTGGTATTCGTTCGATATTTTGATGAGATGTATGTTTTTCTAGCCTCTAGTGGTGTTATGTGAACGTCGACTACATAACACTTCACCATTATTTGGGCCTAGAGGAAGGCATTGGAAAGTAATAAGTAGATTATGGGTTGCTAGAGTGACAGAAGCTTAAATCCTAGTTTATGCGTTGCTTCATAAGGGGCTGATTTCGATCCATATGTTTCATGCTATGGTTAGGTTTACCTTAATACTTTTGTTGTAGTTGCGGATGCTTTCAATAGAGATTAATCATAAGTGGGATGCTTGTTCAAGTAAGAACAACACCTAAGCACCGGTCCACCCACATATCAAATTATCAAAGTACCGAACGCGAATCATATGAACGTGATGAAAACTAGCTTGACGATATTCCCATGTGTCCTCAGGAGCGCTTTTCCTTATATAAGAGTTTGTCCAGTCTTGTCCTTTGCTACAAAAAGGATTGGGCCATCTTGCTGCACTTTATTTACTTTTGTTACTTGTTGCTTGTTACAATTTATCTTATCACAAACTATCTGTTATCACTTATTTCAGTACTTGCAGAGAATACCTTGCTGGAAATCGCTTATCATTTCCTTCTGCTCCTCGTTGGGTTCGACACTCTTACTTATCGAAAGGACTACGATAGATCCCCTATACTTGTGGGTCATCAGAAGGCACTAAGTAAACCACACCTATATATGCAAACTAAGAGTTATTTTGAGCTGAAATTGCATATAAATCAAATAAACTACCACATATAATTCCTCCCAAACTAAAACCCACAAATCACTATACTTATATATAGAGCATTGCAAGAGCTAATCTAGCAATGAGAGATGAAAGGACAAAGTTTCTGAAGGAAATATGCCCTAGAGGCAATAATAAAGTTATTATTTATTTCCTTATATCATGATAAATATTTATTATTCATGCTAGAATTGTATTAACCGAAAACATAATACATGTGTGAATACATAGACAAACAAAGTGTCACTAGTATGCCTCTACTTGACTAGCTCGTTAATCAAAGATGGTTATGTTTCCTAACCATGAACAATGAGTTGTTATTTGATTAACGGGATCACATCATTAAGTGAATGATCTGATTGACATGACCCATTCCATTAGCTTAGCACCCGATCATTTAGTATGTTGCTATTGCTTTCTTCATGACTTATACATGTTCCTTTGACTATGAGATTATGCAACTCCCGTTTGCCGGAGGAACACTTTGTGTGCTACCAAACGTCACAACGTAACTGGGTGATTATAAAGGAGCTCTACAGGTGTCTCCAAAGGTACATGTTGGGTTGGCGTATTTTGAGATTAGGATTTGTCACTCTGATTGTCGGAGAGGTATCTCTGGGCCCTCTCGGTAATGCACATCACTTAAGCCTTGCAAGCATTGCAACTAATGAGTTAGTTGTGGGATGATGTATTACAGAACGAGTAAAGAGACTTGCCGGTAACGAGATTGAACTAGGTATTGGAATACCAACAATCGAATCTCGGGCAAGTAACATACCGATGACAAAAGGAACAACGTATGTTGTTATGCGGTCTGACCGATAAAGATCTTCGTATAATATGTAGGAGCCAATATGAGCATCCAGGTTCCTCTATTGGTTATTGACCGGAGACGTGTCTCGGTCATGTCTACATTGTTCTCGAACCCGTAGGGTCCGCACACTTAAGGTTACGATGACAGTTATATTATGAGTTTATGCATTTTGATGTACCGAAGTTTGTTCGGAGTCCCGGATGTGATCACGGACATGACGAGGAGTCTCGAAATGGTCGAGACATAAAGATTGATATATTGGAAGCCTATGTTTGGATATCGGAAGTGTTCCGGGTGAAATCGGGATTTTACCGGAGTACCGGGAGGTTACCGGAATCCCCCAGGAGCTATATGGGTCATAGTGGGCCTTAGTGGAAAAGAGAAGGGGCTGCCCAAAGTGGGTCGCGCGCCCCTCTCCTCCCTTGGTCCGAATAGGACAAGGAGAGGGGGCCGGCCACCCTCTCTCTTTTCCCCCCTCCGCGAATCCTATTCCAACTAGGATTGGGGGGGGGATCCTACTCCCAGAGGGAGTAGGACTCTCCTGGCGCGCCTCTCCTAGGCCGGCCGCACCCCCCCTTGGTCCTTTATATACTGAGGCAGGGGAACCCCAGAGACACACAAGTTGATCCACGTGATCTTATTCTTAGCCGTGTGCGGCGCCCCCAGCCACCATAGTCCTCGATAATATTGTAGCGGTGCTTAGGTGAAGCCCTGCGACAGTAGTACATCAAGATCGTCACCACGCCTTCGTGCTGACGGAACTCTTCCCCGACACTTTGCTGGATCGGAGTCCAGGGATTGTCATCGAACTGAACGTGTGCTAAAACTCGGAGGTGCCGTAGTTTCGGTTCTTGATCGGTCGGGCCGTGAAGACGTACGACTACATCAACCAAACACTTCCGTTGTCGATCTACAAGGGTACGTAGATCACACTCTCCCCTCGTTGCTATGCATCACCATGATCTTGCGTGTGCGTAGGAAAATTTTGAAATTACTACGTTCCCCAACAGTTCCTAACCTTTGTGATCACTTGGATTGATGGGGTGCCTTCAAATCTTGACAAATTTTGGAAAAAATAGAGGATGAGCTCGATAGGATAGAAAGAAAACAGAGAGGAGAGGAAAGGGAAAGAATAGAGAGCTCGGACTTGATGAAGGGTTTATATAGGATGATCTTTAGTCCTGGTTGGTTATACGAACCAGGACTAAAGGTGCACCTAGTACCGGTTCGTGCCACGAACCGGGACTAAACGTGTTGGTGGGGCCCCAGCCTGACACTAGCCTGCCACCACCTCTTTAGTCCCGATTCGTGGAACGAACCGGTACTAGAGGTTCGACATGAACCGGGACTAATGAGTGTCGCCCGCCTAGCCGTTGGAACCGACACTAATTGTCACATTAGTGCCGGTTCATTTAGAAACCAGGACTAATGAGCTAAACATTAGGTCATTTTTCTACTAGTGTCACTTGATTTCATCATTTTGATATTGTCATTAATTCAAGATTATTGTTCAAGAATCTGTTGATACCACACAATTATGAGATAATAACACATCAAATATACTCCAGCTATTAATTTCAAATTATTAATTATCCTCCATTTTTTCCTAGTATTACAGTGTGCGTATTTACGAACATCGGGGAAATCAAAAGAGACCCTGCCCCCCAATCCCGCCCCATGAACCCAGGTAGATACATTACCCACATTCCTGCAATCCCACACAACCTTATTATGCCATCCATATTTAGCAGTTTTTGAAGTCATTTATGTGTTACCACATGCGCTGGATTTATCAATTGACTAATACATGCCAAAAATAAGATACAACACTTAATTGTTTGTGCCATATAAATATTACGCGGTATCGATCATATTCCAACATTCCCATCATCTTCCTTGTGTTCCTGTGTGCGGCTGAAGAAATGAAATCATTTAGACATCTCTCGGTACAACTTCTCTTGCTCGCCACCCTCTTTCCTATACTCGCACTATGCTATATTAATCCAGCTACCACAAGCATACACCAAAATGCCACAAAATCCTCTGCTTATCGTGCTTACATCATACTCGTCCAGCCACCACCCTCGAATGCAGGCGAAGATGCACACCACCAGTGGTACGAGTCTTTCTTGTCGACATCGTTGGCAGGTGACTCTCGCAAGTCACGCCTTCTCTACTCCTACACCGAGGTGTTCAATGGGTTCGCCGTAAGGCTCACCGATGCCGAACTCGACAAGGTGTCCAAGAAGCCAGGGTTTGTGCGGGCATTCCCAGACCAAACGCTGCAACTAATGACCACCCACACGCCAGAGTTCCTTGGGCTAAGGAATGGCACTGGGTTCTGGAGCCAGGCTGACTATGGGAAGGGAGTCATCATCGGGCTGCTTGATAGCGGCATCTATGCAGCGCATGCTTCCTTCAACGACCACGGTGTTCCACCACCCCCAGCAAGGTGGAAGGGCTCGTGCGACGCGGCCCGGTGCAACAACAAGCTTATCGGTGCCAAGTCACTCATTGCAGATCATGACTCTGACGACGAACAAGGGCATGGAACACACACCTCTTCCACAGCCGCGGGAAACTTCGTAACGGGCGCATCATACAATGGCGTGGGCACAGGTACTGCGGTTGGAATTGCCCCTAGTGCCCACATTGCCATGTATAAGGTATGTGATGCTCGTGACTGCAAGGCATCTGCTATACTGGCCGGCCTAGAAGAGGCCATCAAGGATGGGGTGGACGTGCTCTCGCTCTCCCTTGGCAGCAGCACCGGCGCCAGCTTCGATCAGGACCCGATATCTATTGGCGCGTTCAGTGCCGTGTCCAAGGGCATCCTCGTGGTGTGCGCCGCTGGCAACAACGGTCCGATTCAGAGCTCCGTCACGAATGAAGCACCATGGTTGCTCACGGTCGCCGCTAGCTCCGTGGACCGGAGCTTCAGCGTCAACATACATCTCGGCAATGGCAAGACCATTGACGGAGAAGCACTTACCCAGATAGGAAATCCAAGATCAAAGTTGCACTCTCTCCTCTACTCCAAGGAATGGCGGTACTGCAATTATGACTATGATAATAGCATCACTGGTAAGATCCTCCTTTGCAAGGACAATAAGTCAAGGGCTCAACGGTCCAAAATCCGCAACATAGTGGGCGCTGGCGCGACAGGTGTGGTATTGTTCAACGATGAAATCAGTGGCTACACCACCACTGTTACAGATTACAACTCCAGTGTTGTACAGGTGACTGCGGCCGATGGCGAGGCCCTCATAGCTTACATCGCGTTGACAGACAATAGCTCTATGGCGTCTCTTGCGTACAACGGTACACAGTTTGGCGTCCGCCCTGCCCCCGTCGTGGCCTCGTTCTCTTCTCGGGGTCCAAGCTCACTCGCCCCCAACATCCTAAAGCCAGACATACTGGCACCGGGCCTCAACATCCTTGCTGCTTGGCCGTCAAAAACCGGCCATGGACAGGGCTCTTTCACCATCATATCAGGCACATCTATGGCGACACCACATGTCAGCGGTGTCGCGGCGCTCATCAAAGGCATCCATCCTGACTGGTCGCCGGCCACCATCAAGTCTGCCATCCTAACAACGTCGGACATCATTAACGGTACTGGCGGCTCAATCTTGGACGAGCAACATAGAAAGGCCAGCGTGTACGACACAGGTGCCGGTCATGTAAACCCGGCAAGAGCTGCCGACCCTGGCTTGGTGTATGACCTCAGTGTCATTGACTACGCTGGCTACATCTGCTGGCTCCTTGGTGACATCGGCCTAGCAACCATAGTGCACAACTTGAGTTTGTCCTGCGCGAAGTTGCCCAAGGTCCAGGACGTGCAACTTAATTACCCGACGATAACCGTGCCGCTCACATCCACGCAATTCACTGTGAACCGGACTGTGACAAATGTCGGTCCAGCAGAGTCAACATTCAAGGCCAAAGTGGATGTGCCAAGGTCTTTAACAGTGCGCGTCATCCCGGATACTATGTCATTCTCCAAAACCGGAGAGAAGAAGACCTTCAGTGTGTCCGTGAGTAGCCTTGAACTGGGCAAAGAGCTCTACGTGGATGGAACCTTGAGCTGGGTATCGGAGAAGCATGTCGTGCGTAGCCCCATCATCGTTGTCCCCGCATGAGGTGATATTGCTCCGGCACCATCACCATGAACGATGTCCATGCCATGAGATCGATGGCTGTTTTATTTTTCCTTGTTCAATTCTTTTTTGGTTTAATGTTGCATCAACATAAATAAACAGTCATAATGGAACAAGAATGTGCATCGTCTCATATGTACCAATACATGATGCTGCAGAGTTTGATTTTTCTGCTTTTTTTTTACTTTGTTTCACTACATGATTGCGGGCCAGTAACAATTACGATTCACCTTCTTCCGTTACTCGACGTGTCTGTATGTAATCACCACCATGCCACCACTACTTCCCCATTCCCCATTCCCCTTATTACACAAAATCCGCAAATCCCTCTCCAGCAGCCATGATTGGCCATTAGCCATCTAATTTGTCTTCCCAGTTCTGCCAGTCTTCCCTACTTTCTACCTCCTTCTCCAACCTATTCTTCAATGGATTTTAGATTCTACTTTTATTTATGATGTTCTCTTCACTAAAAAAATGAATGCAGGTTTTCCAGCTCGGATGGATTCAAGCTCAGTTGTGATGGATTGGCTGGTTTTACTGGATTGGAAGGTGAGGCATTGGTTTCAGCTTTAATGTTTTGTCTGAGAGTATTATGTTTAAATGCCCGCACCATCCTTTCCGAAAGTGCTAATGGCTAGAGTGTGACATTATTTTGGTAATAGCAAATTGTAGCATGGTAAACTTCAAAGTTTTAATAAATTAAAACATATTTGCTTTGGCATGATCACAAGTGTACAACAACATTAGTATTTTCAGTGCCTATGCAGAACTGCCACTATCTAAATTCCAAGTCTAAAGTAACAAGGCTCCACCATGCAAACATGGCATGGCATCCATCTTTAGCAGTTCGTGGAGACTAAAACATGACAAGAACTTCTGTTTAACATTCTATTGCTCATTATAACACTTCTGTTTCTGAAGCTCACCAAAATTTGGGTGGTTGATTGATCTCTTTGCCTCTTCTACTAGCACACATGCCCGTGCTTTGCAACGGGACAATATAAGAATGGCTCAAGACCCCCACAGGTTCGAGTTCTCTAGTTCAACATGGCTCCCCGCTCGTGCCGCCGCTTGGCTGCTTTGCCGTTAGGTATAATACATTTGAGCTTACAATTACATGTTGTAAAATGTAAAGGTAGAATTGTTTTTCTAAGTTTAAAGTTAGAATCATGACTAAGTGAAAGTGAGTTCATTTTACCATTAAAATAAGCCATCCCACATACAAAACCTGTTTTGAGGAGCCCACATAAAAAACTTGCATTATAAAAAGATAAATTTGAAATTGTATTTTCGTGATTGATCCATGCATTAGTAATTAGTCGAAATTCCTTGAGATGCATATGACATGTGTGTACGTGGTCCAACATGGCATGCACAAATAAAGATGATCAATTTTCTCCCCTCGTTGATCGAAAAAAAATTGCGTGCGACCCGGATCGTACCCTCCTTGCCCTTAGACACTCTTCCTCAGCTAAGTGCTGGCGCATTGGAAAACAAATCTCAAAGGTTATTCTCCATTGTCGCATGCTCTCGGTGACGCCGCCGCCGCAACTCTTCAATTTCGTGGAACCACCGATGCTCTGTCTTTCTTCCCTCTTCTCTCTTCCTCTCGTCTCAAATCACGACACGACGTCATCTCGTCTATTTGGGTAGCATCTCCTCCCCAAAGTTGTGATGGTTGCAACCTCTATCAATGGTGTCAATAGATGGGCTGAACTACAGTGACGGCGACAATATCTGTCGTCAAGGACGGGCAGGTCTGCGGCCGGCGTGTGAACATCACCTCCCGTCCAGGATGTGATGGCTACTACTATCGACGACGGCTTGACGAAGAGCGATGATTGTGCAGTGGCAGCGGTCGCGCAAGCATGTAGCTGCTGGGATGTGGAAAAGTGGTGGCGACGACACATGAGTGACTTTGATGGTTGTGCTACTTGAGCACATGCTCTCGAGCTCTGGGGTGAAAACCTAGGTGCAACCGAGTTGGTTATACCTGGCAATGACGATGTTTTTATGTCGTTACAATGTTGAAGGCATTGCTCGGATATGCTCAGAGTGGTTCTTCGGGGTGAAAACCTAGATTCAGACTTTGGGTAGTTGGATCAGGTGACGACGATACTTGAGTGTTGCTCCCTTCCTGAAGGCGTTGATGTTGAAGAACCTCATTGTCCGTGTGATGTCATGAGATAGTCGGTGCGGATAAGGTCATTAATATAGTTTGCTGATCATGGATCTGATCGCTTTGAGGTTTCTCTTTTTTTCTCGCCCATGCATAGCTTTGGTCTTAGATGACTTTGCTATTTGATGGCGTGTTTTTGCGTGCGTGTGTTGGTGTTGGCTGTGTGCATCTTAGCTATGCAAAGGCCGGATGTATGCTCATTGTGTTTGTATCCTCTTGATGCTCCATTTTGAGCCAATAAAATTTCACCCTTTGTCGAAAAAACTACTAGCCCGAGTTGCACCGCTGTGACCTAAGCAGGTTGAAGCAGTAGTGGTGGCCTTTGCTAGGGCTAGCGGCCACAGTGGCCATAAATTGGATGAGCAGCAGTTGCAAATCACAAGTCAGCAACGACCATGGACGGCGTTAGAAGGGAGAGAGAATTGGTGAAATATGATGATTGTATTGTTTGAGCCTCGTGGATTTATATATAGGAGTACATGACTATTTTGGAGTGCAAGGTAGAATAAATCTTACGATATCCTACATTTCCTAAATAACCATGATACTCAACATCCCCCGCAGTCACAACGGTAGCGACGCAGGCGGTGAGACTGTAGAGGAATCCAAAGGGAAGTCGACGGACATCCCCCCACAGTCGTAACGGTCGACGCGTCGCGGAAGTCATGGTTGGAGTAGAAACCGACGAGATTACTCAAGGAAGGACGTAGCCCTTTGTGCCAATGTCGTTGTAGCTGAGAGCGTAGGGTGGTGCAGAAGTCGTTGAGGTAGCCGTGCGAGGGGCGCCATGGTCGATGTCGAGTCGGGGTGGCTGGTGTCGAGGTAGTCGCCGTGGACCGGAAAGAAGAGCAGCGGCGGCGTCCTAAGAAGGTGGCGGCGGCTAGGTTAGGAGCGCGGCTACGGTGCTCGAAGTAGGCGAGGAAGAACCCGACAGCATGATGAAGACCGGTGCGAAAGATGATGTTCCCACGCCTAGGGAGGCGACGCGACACATAGCACGTAGAAGTCGACATGCGGGGACGGCGGAGCGGACCGCATGTTGCGGTGCTATGGCCCGAAGGGGCGATGTAGTGTCAGCTCACAAGTCGGGGCGATGGCGAGGAAGACCTCATAGTGGCGACGGGGACCGCGTGTCACGCTCACTACGACCCAATGGAACGACGCAGCAGCAGCGCCAGGGTCGATGCTGCGAGGAGGACGGCCTGGAGCAAACGACCTCGGGGTGGCGATGGACCGCGGGCTGCAGCACTATGACCCGAAGGGGCAACGCAGCAGCAGCGCGCGGGTCGATGCAGCCGCAGAAAGAACCACAAGGTGACGACAGGGACCACATGCCACGCTTGTTACGGCCTGATGGGAAGATGCGGCGGCAACGCGAGGGTCGGTGCAAAAATGATCTGAAATGGACGGCGTCGGGGCGGCGGTAGACCGCGGGCCGCGACACTACCACCTAAAGGGCGACGTAGTGGCAACACGTGGGTGAATGCAACGGCAGCCGATTGCTCAATCGGCGAAGAGACACGAAAATTTGATAACAATCTTCATGAAATTTGGCACAAGTGCGGACCGTACAACGTCCATCAGAGGCCGGACGTTGCAGCATCCTGTAACCGGGCGTGGGCACGCGCTTGTGCGGGAAGGCTGATCCGATCTGGACTCCTAGATCAGTCACCGCCGAAGGTGCACAGCTAGCCAGCCAACATGCACGCATCATGCATGGACACGGCTTGCATCTGGCCAGTGCGGGAGATCGAGCAGGCAACCATGCCAATTGCACGAACGAGGTCAGCCCACCCTAGTGGGGTGCACTTTTTTTTAGGACCAGAGTATGCAATACTCTAGTGGGGGTTACATTCGGTCAGCATCCGATTCCTAAGTCTATCAGGGACATTCCCTAAGATCAGAAAATCTCCACTGGACCTAGCTTCGGCTGCCAGCTCATGGGCAAGGGTATTTTGCTCTCTGTCAATGTAAAGCACTTGGTGGTCTGCAAATTGGGATAGAGCAGCTTTAATGTCAAGAATGAGCCCGTAGCTCGGGGAACGACTATCCGCATCCTTTGTCAGTTCAGCTGCAAGGTTTTTGCAATCTGTTTCCACCACTAGAGAACCTCTGTATACGTCCAAGAAGGCTTGCAGGCCAATAAGCATTGCTTGTCCTTCAGCATCCTGGGGGCTGTTCGAGGGGGCGAGCTGTCTGCCAACTGACAAGTTTGTGAGACCCCTGAAGTCTCTAGCTACTGCACCGCCCCATCCATGTCCAGTGTCCAGGAGAAAGGATGCATCCGAGTTTAATTTAGCAGTCCCAGGGGCGGTGCATTCCACTGCGCGACCATCCGAGCAGAGACGCAAGGTAAGGAACTGGAGCAGGGAACTACCTTTTTTCCGGCCAGGGAAGGGCGATCCAAACCTCCATTTCTTTCATTCCTCCAACAGTTTAGACAAGTATTGCACTGATCTCCCAATCGTTTCTTTGCCGTCCCCATGCACACAATTATCTCGCAGGTGCCAGCATCTCCATAGAAGAAGCAGTATCTTTGATCTCATGTCCTCCGTCACCGAGCTTAAAAGAACCTGCAGCCAGTCACAACCCGTATCCCGGAAAGAATTTTCCGAGGGTAACTCCCACTGATCTCTCATAGCATACCGTAGGGCTGCACTCTTTGTGCACATGATTACTGCATGGTGTTCGTCCTCATCGCCGTTCCCACATACATTGCAGACAGCATCCACAGTGATCATGCGTCTGAATTTGTTCTTCTTGGTAGCAAGAGTGTTTGTGGCTACCCTCCATCCAAAGATTT